TCCAGTTACTTGTTATCTGAGAGGGGAGAACACCTTCCTGATAGCCATTACTGACCAGCATTATGTAGCAGGACACTGATGGTGTCTTCTTCTGGCTTTTTTGTAGATGAAAATTTGACCTAGACCTATTCTCCTCTCCCTCCTCCCCTCCTCCTTGCACTCTCCTCTTCCCCTTTCTCTCCCCACTCCCTTCTTCCTTCTCTTCCTTTTTTTCCAGATTATTTTTTGGTAATAGAAATAGAGTGTATTGTTCCTTATTCTGCTTCTCTTTTTCAACAAATCACACAGAGTGACATCTAATTCACCACCTTACTATAAACATTTTTACTAAGCATCTGTCCTACTTCCTCAACAAAACAAAACAAAACAAAACAAAACAAAAAACAAAACAAACCAGGACACAACTGTCTCCACTCCTGGCAGATGTGGCTGCAGCAGTAGCTAGATCAGCTCTCTGGGACAATGGCCAATTTGTCACCTCCAGAAAGCAACTACTCTTAATAGATATCTAGTGGGCATCCTTTCTGCCACCAGCAGAATCGTTCATAGGAGGAGCAGCTTCATGAGACATTTGCCTGCAGAACCACCACACATTTCTTTTCTACCTGTGAGCATTTTTTATTCCCTCTTCTTTTTAGTTTCTGTATGGTGAGGGGCTACAGGCAAATTATATCAGTATGATTCAGATGCCTGCTTATTCTGTGTCATAGTTAGCTTGAACTGTCAACTTGATACAACTTACAGTCTCTTGAGAAGGGAACTGCCATTGAGGAATTGCCTGAATCAGATAGGCCTTTGGGCATGCCTGTAGAGGATTGTATTGATTGTTAACGGATGTAGGAAGATCTGGACTACTCTGGGCTTCACTATGACTTAGTGGTCTTCAGCTGGAGAAGAGGTAGCAAAGCATGATGTGCAAATGATCCACCAAGAAACTTTCCTCCATAGCTTCTGCTTCACATTCTTGCCCAGACTTCTCTTAATAATGAACTATGACCTGGAAATAAAAGCTATGTAAATGCTTTCTTTCTGTAAGTTGCTTTTGGTCAAAATGTGCTTATCATAGCAATATAAAGAACACTAGGGCACCCTGCAAGCTGTATGAATGACAGTCCCTCTTACCTTCCATCTCCTCATGAATAAAGTAGACTCAATCACACGTGTGGATGTTACATGTGTCAACGTCTAGCAAAATGCAGTATATAGTAGGTGTCTGTTGGGCAATGCTCACGCCCGGGGGGCATGGGCGGCTTGGGTGTGAGCCGCCGTGGGCGGGGGCGGCACATCCCGGAGGGACTCAACAGCTCAGACTGCTGACGAACCAAGGGCCGTCCTGCGACCCGTGGCTCAGCACTCTCTGTTGATGATTCGGTCTCGCCCACCCACACTGCCGGCGGCAACCGCAGGGTCTCGGGAGCAGAGACGCTGGGTATGCAGGACACGGTGCAGGCCAGCGGCCCAGTGGAGGTGGTGTATGGGCCGCTGTTGTCAGGAGAAAGCGTCCTGCGGCCCACTAGAGTGCAGAGAACACCAGGGCGGGCGGAAAAGGCTTCTCTCCCTCCCCCGTCCTGCCACGTGGACAGGGGCGTGCGCGAGTCTTGACTTACACAATGAGTCCAGGATTTCGAGAGACACGTGGAGATTTAAGACGTGTAGATTTATTGACATGGTGGTGGATTCGGATGGTGACAAACTCTCCCAAAAAATGCCAAGAGAGGTCTCCTTATATTAGAAGTGGGAGAGGGGCTGGACCAGGGCCTTTAGGTAAATCTTAGGCAGAGACCTGTTTCCCCACCCTCTACCTGGGCCTTCTTGGGGCGTGGCCAAACACTCCAGGGTTCCACAGCCCCACAATCCACCCTTTTTTCTTTCATAAAAGGAGGGGAAACTCTGAAGGTGGAGATATAATGTAGGTCACATGTGGTGATGTTACTCTTCACAGCCTGCCATCCACAATTCCCTCTCAGGAGAGGTGTCATTTGTAGTGAAAATAAAAGAAAACACCACACAGACTGGGGGGTATAGCACAATCAAGCCAAGGGTAATGGGAATTGAGGGTTGGGGTTGGGAAAGCAAGGAGTCATTGAATCAATTAAATACATATTGTACAATTTGAGAGTAATGACATCTGATTAAATAGACATTATGATTTCCTCACTAACATGTCAGTTCAGCTATGTGACTTTGGCAAGAGTTCATCTGCAGCTGGTAGCGAGCATCTCTGGGTCTTCAGTCGGACGAAATGACTGGGAGAAGGCAGCTTGGCAGGTTCCAGGAGGTGGCTTTGTCTCGGCATCAGCTTGTCTCTGTTGGATCTGTGGGTATAATCACAGGGAAGCAGCATCTCCGGCGGGGAGATATCTGGAAAGCATTAAATCACTCCTGGAAAGTCAAAGGTGTTTGAGGAAATTGGATGACTGAAGAAAAAAACATTGTGTTAATAATATCTGGGATAGGCGTCCACAGTTTGTCTGTGAAAGAAAATTAGTTGCTAATTAAAAACTGAAAGATGGTGGTCAGCATGTTGATTCAACCTGTGGAAGTAGATTTAGATGACTTTCAAACCTTGAAGAAATTTTAAAAATTGAAAAAAAAATGTTGGGAATATATCATGAGTGTTAGAGAGAAAAGGAGACATTCAAACAAAAAGCGAAAAATTTTGGGTTGAAAAGCACGAACACTGTTGTTTAGGCATTCCTGTTGGGGAGAAAAGGTTAATGGCGGATTTAGGAGTAGTGAAGGAGGGGCCTGTTCTGCCCTGTGGTGGCTGGGCTACCACGTGGTGGCTGGGTGCTCTAGTAGAGAGGCCAAGGAATTCCCCCTTTTGTTTTTCTTAGGAATCTTAAATGTAGAAGAAAAAGGCCAATCTTGAAGACAAGCTCAAAGCAAGAAATATGGGTATTTAATAGGAAAGTCAGAAGGAGTAAAAGGTTGTGTGAAACCGAGCCATGGCGGGAAGACACCTGGAGGCTAGCAAAGAGTAAGCCGGCGGCTCTCAGTGAGAAAGAAACAGAGGCGAAGGGGGCAGATTGAGTCTCAGACCTTCTGCTATCAGACAAGCCAGCTGGGCTGTAGCGGGCCGCAAATGACCTAGAAGGTGAAGTGGGGAAGGGGGCAAGCAGGGAGCCAGCCCTGTTGTCACAGGCGAGTCAGCTGGGATGTAACTATTCAGCCGCAAATGGCAGAGGAGTGGGGGAAGTTTACACTAGGCTAGTAGGCAGAGTTCAAAAAGCTGACCTCTGGGGGAGGGGCAAACCTCTTGGCAGGCAGAGCAAGGGAGATTTTTTGGGGGGAGGGGTAAAGAATGGAGATTAGGGAGTCTTCGCCATCTTGTAGGGAACACGTGGAGAGAGAAACTTATTATTATTTTTTTTAATTAGGAGGAAGTTAGATTGTAGTTAACAATTAGAGAAAAGACGTTAGCCAGGAGCGCGAGAAAGAGAGAGAGAGGAGGTGGAGATGGATGGACAGAGATGTAACTCACGGTTCTCGCGGGCACCAGCAGGGAGAGCTTCTGTGCTGGCTTTGTGTACATTGTCCACCACTAACCAGGGGGAGATGGTAGCCCGTGTGCCTTGGGAGCGCGCGGGCATGGAGTTGTCCATGTCTCTTGTCTGGAGCAGATGTCTCAGGGAGGCAGAGATCGCCATAGTGGAGAAGCGGGCGCAGAAAGCTTGGTGTTTGGGCAGGAATGAAGTAGTCAGATCTCAGTGGGTGTGGGCGTAAGACTCTTGGGTCTGCTCTGGGCCTCAGACGTCTCGGGGAGTTGAGTGTGCAGCAGGGAGGTTATGGGGGCGGGTGGCTGTGTCTTGGACAGCCAGCGCGCCAATTTGACCTCTATTTTAAGGGTCTGTGGACGTGCAGTAAAATAGAAGCGAGAGAGTGTACGCAGCTGTGGCATGCGCTGTGAAAACAGGAATCTAGACATCGTGTCCCGTTGGAAGTGACTCGTTCATTCTTGGCCGTGGGTGTCGGTGGTCTGTGTGGGTGCCAGATGTTGGCAATGGTCATGCCCGGGGGTCGTGGGCGGTGACGTGGGTGAGCCGGAGTGGATGGGGGGGGTGGCACTTCCCAGCGGGACTCAACAGTGCAGACCGCTGACGAACCAAGGGCCGTCCTGGGCATATGGGACATGGTGCAGGCCAGGGTCCCTGCAGAGGCGGTGCACAGGCTGCTGTTGTCAGGAGAAAGCGTCCTGCGGCCCGCTAGAGTGCAGAGAGCACCGGGACAGGTGGAAAAGGCTTCTCTCCCTCCCCCGTACCCCCATGCGGACCGGGGCGTGCACGAGTCTTGACTTACACAATGAGTCCAGGATTTCGAGAGACGTGGAGATTTAAGACGTGTATACTTATTGACATGGCGGTGGATTCGGATTGTTACAAACTCTCCCAAAAAATGCCAAGAGAGGTCTACTTATATTAGAAGTGGGAGAGGGGCGGGACCAGGGCCTTTAGGTAAATCTTGAGGCAGAGACCTGTTTCCCCACCCTCTACCTGGGCCTTTTTGGGGCATGGGCAAACACTCCAGGGTTCCACAGCCCCACAGGTGTCCATTAGCAAGGAGCAACCCTATATTAGATGTTACTAGATTTACACGTATTATTTTACTTCCCATGGGATCAGAGCATCTTTTAGAGAGGATTTTTTTTTCCTAAAGACTTTACTTTTACTGACCTTCTTAAGAGAAGAAAACTTTTTCAGCTTCAGGGCATGTGATGCTTAATTTATTTATAAGTAAGTACAGGGCAATCCTCTGAGGACTGAGGCAATGACAGCAGGGTCCTCTGTCCTATGGATGAGTAAAGTGTTCCATAAGTCCTTGTCTGGCTTGAGAACACCAGGGAGCAATGTCTAGTGTCCTCCTGCTAATTGTTAACTGCAGGTCTTGGGGGAGGGCAACTGAGAGCCTGCTGTCACTGTGGCTAGATCTGCTCTTGGTCTGTTTCCACCTGCTCTTCAGCCTTTGACCCTCTTACATGCTCTACTGAAACCACAGATGCAGAAAGCCACTTGGCTTATCTCATGGCTAGCCATGGAGGATGGAATTTTTTTCTCCGTGAGTATAAAGCAAAAAGATTGACATATTTAAAATTTCTTTTTTAAAATTGTGTGTGTGTGTGTGTGTGTGTGTGTATGTGTGTGTGTGTATATGTGTGTGTATGTGTGTGTAGGTCAGAGGACAACTTGTAGGAGTCAGTTCTATCTTTCTACCATATGGGGCTCAGGGATCAAATCCAGGTCATTATACTTGGTGGCAAAAGCCTTCATCTGCAGAACCAGCTCTAGTTCCTACTGTATTGATAAATGTCCTGTTGGTTTTCCCAGTAGATTTTTATGAAGATTTTATGTATGAGGCATTCATATATGGCTGCCAAGTAATTAAAATTCATTTATGTTATAGGTGAGAGAATCTAGTGATTTGAAGGTAGTGTGGCAAGAAAGTGAAAGAAAAAAAATTCTTTTTGCCAAGAAATTAAGAATCAGAGCAAAGAGTGTGGAAGGGATTCCATTAGCAACCCTGAGTAGGGAAGTTGCTTCAGAACTCACTAGAAATCATGTTTGCAGAGGTCCTGGAGGCACGTTTGGAGATGGGTTTCACATGCTTTTCCGTGTCATTATCCCTTAACTTATGCAACTTGCAGAAAAGAATGCAACCTTTAAAAAATGTGAACAAATGCCTGATTCATATTTTTAATCTGCTTTCTCCACAGTAGCCTCTGAGCTGTTCAAGGTCAACAGTCATCCTCCTCTGCACACTTACACGGCCATCTACACATGTGGCTTTGCATGCAGGCTTTATTGAAAGCCATGTAGGCTTTGTTAAAAGCCCAGCCCAAAGCTCTTTCTCAGTGACCATGAGATGCCCACCAGCCCTTAGCCACTATTCTGCTAAACTCCATGCTCAGGATCTAGGAGGAACTGGGGTCTGGTTGAAGCAGGATATGCAGAGAAAGCTGCAGTGGTGATGTGCCATCCAGTGCCCAAGGCTACCATCAATATTTCATCCTGACACTCTCCCACTGAGTGCAGACAAAGCCTTTGCATTCTTCCTGAAGGGTTGCTCCAGGCAGCCTCTACCTGCTGATGGGAAATGGCACCCAAGGTGACATCCTTTGTTCCTCAGATGCCCTGAACCATGGGTACCCTCCAAGTCTCTTCACTAATCTTTAATATTCACTTGTCTCTGAGTTGAGTTCCCTCTGTCTATTATAGTAGGAGCGTTTCTAAATCTGAGCTCAGTTAGTGGGTTTTCTCCTTAATATGCATTTACATATCTCAAGGTAAAACTGTTGATTTCACTGAACAGTTATTTTCTTTTGCATTGACTGACCTCAGCATCCTTGGATCTGGCTGTAGATGCAGTTTACTTTTCTCTCCAGAAAGAATGTGTACTTGAATAGTGCTCCACTTGCCCACCTCTAAGAGATATCATCTCTGTGAAGGATCTCTTCTGTCTCCCTAACTCCTTCTAGACTCTCGTGGCTTACCTGATGAGGAAGCTCAGCTTCTCCTCCTCTTCTTCCTCCTTCTCTCTTGCTACTCCATCTGTGGTTCTCAGACAGCCTGTAGGAACCTTCTCAGTAAATTATTTCTCTTGTTCTCTGAGATGGAGTCTCGCTTAGTTTAGGCTGGCTTTGTTCTCATTCATCCTCCTGGCCCTTCCTCCAGAGTGGCAGGATATTACCATGCCTGGTTTTTAAGTGTAAAATCAAAATTAAAAAGGAAAGAAAGAAAGAAAAGGACGTGACTGCTCTTAGGTATAGTGGAGGAGAAAACTTTATTATAGTTAAGGGAAAGCGTAGCCAGAGGCAGCGACATCTTAGAGAGTTCAGAGTGAACATGACCAGACTGAGCTGGGTCTTGTAGGTAAGTGAGCAGAAAGAGGAGATCCAGACCAAGAGGCCAGGGAAGTAAGGAAAAAGCTAAAGGTTCAGTTGGTTTGGGGGAAGGCAGCCCAGCCCCTGGGCTAGAGAAGTTTAGGGTATGCTAGCCAGGAGGGCCCTGTAACTGGTAGGGACTGAGAGATGCTGGGAGACCTGGTGGCAAGTTATCTTTGATATGTGAAATAGCATCTCATCAAAAGCCAGGTTTAAGACTTACTGGTTTTATATGGTGCTGGGGATTAAACCAGGCTTTGTACATAGTAGAGAAGTACTCACAAGCTGAGCGCCATCCCGAACCTTGGTGGGCGTCCAGGAGGAGAGTATAGACGATTATACTTTTGATCTCCAGAGATACTAGAGATGGTATGAGACATACAGCAGACCTCAAAAAAATGCCCATGGTTGACTATACATATATAGAACCACAGCTTATTCGATTGGCTTTTATATATATCATTTCCCTATAAATCCTTAAAATGTCCTTGCAAGGTAAGCATTTTCCCAGAAGAGGACCCTGGAGCTCAGAAAGGTTAAATGTCTATTCTGAAAGTGTGTGTCAAGGAAGAGGTGGCTCTGGACTCAGAACCCACTCTTGCCCTCTAACTACCCCTCTCCTCCTTCCCCCAGTAGCTCAGTGTTTTGCAGTTGTGTGTCATTCATTCATTATGATACTCTGACTTTGTGGAGAGCCGCAGTGGGCAGAGATGGCGCTGGCATCCGGTGCTCTCCCAAAGTTTACAGAATTACTGCCTTTGTACAAGGGAAAATGCGCACCAAGTCACAGCCCATCCCAGGGCGTATATACATTTATGGGCAAACAGCCAACCAGAAATGTACATGCCGCTCCAGGGGGTATAAAAACAGTGCCTTCTCGGGGCCCCGGGGTCTTCCTCTATACATCGTAATAAAGAAGATCTGCAGTAGAACCCTGGCGTCTGCGTGCATTCTTGCTGGCGAGATAATTGCTCGCGGACTGCATGACTTCATAGTGTGTGTCTTACTAGATTATAACCTCCCCAAGAGTAAAGTAGATGTGCTGCCTCTCTCTTCCCTGCATCTCTTCTCTCATGACTGCAGCAGACTGGCAATTTTAAAATTGTATATTCTGTATTATTTGATCACTGAGTGCTACAAATCAAAATTTAGTGTGAAATCAAAATTTTTAGCTCTGCTTTGACAAAAACCTTGATTTGTCTAATGGCATCATTAAAAAGAAACATGAAATATACTCGAAAGAATGTGGAATCTTAGGCTGGAATGGCAGTATTGAGCTGCCTGAACATGTATAAAGAACCATTATGAGAGCTAGTATGCTTATTAAATCTCACAAAAAATTCCATTAGTCATTGTAATTGAAAATGCTGCCATATTAACATTTATCTGCCAAGAATCACAGATGATCAAGTGAGACAGAATCTGGTTAAAAAAAAATCCTTACACCAGGAGACCAGTCTTGGTTTTGTGGAGGTCTCTTTTTCTTTCTGATGAGGAATTTTCCTCTCTTCAGAATAATAGTTGGATTAATCTGGTCTGCCTCCTTGACCTCAGCTCCACTCACTGCATTTACATGATGTGAATGCCATCTTCTGGGTTATATAACAATTCTGTGCTGAATCGTGCTGCTGATTGGTTATTGTCTGATGATGAGGCTGTCTGATTTTGTTCTAGAAACATGTCACTGGAAAGTCATATTATCATTCACGAGGAACCTGGAGGCCAATGCCTGCAATGCTAAGTCTTATAAAAATCTCATGCTCAGCTAAAATATTACTCCCTGATACTTGAAATATATTTTTCTTTTCATAGCCTTAGGTTTTAATTGACACATAAAATTATATATGTTTATAGAATACCTTGTGATTTTTAAATTTTCTAAAAAAGGATTTATTTTTATTTTATGTATTTGTTTAGCCTGTATGTAAGTATTTGCACCAAGTGCATGCAGTATCTATGGATGCTCAAAGAACACATCAGATCCCTTGGTTACAGAGAGTTGTGAGCCTCCATGTGATGCTGAGCTTCAAATCTGTGTCCTCTGGAAGAGTATTCAGTCAGGGCTCTTAACTGCTGAGCCTTCTCTAGCCTCTATTTAAAAGACTATTTATTTTATTTTAATTTTGTGTGTGGGTGATGTGCACACGTGTGCAGGTTCCCACAGAGGCCAGAAGAGGGTATCAGATTCTCTGGTGCTGGAGTCAAACTCAGATTCTCTCTGAGAGCAGCAAGTGCTCCTAATGGCTGAGCCATTTCTCCAACCCCCATGTGATATTTTATACTGTATATATTATGTAATGTTTGAATCTGGGTAAATATATCTATGTCATCAAATATTTATACTTTCTTTGTGAAAGCCTTCATAGTCATGTCTTCTAGTCGTTTAGAAATGCACAGCATGCTATCTTTATCACACTCCGCCATTGTGCAACAGAACACCAGAACTCTTCTCAGAACTGTAAAGTAGCAGTCATCCATCAACCTTTCTCCACCCCTCTCTCCCCTTATCCCTCCTTGCCTCTGGTTAGCAGTATTCTGCTGAATAGTCCATTTTTTCCTCCTTGAAGAAAACTAGAGAAGCTTAATCAAACCTGTATTCAATTAATTTGCATGCAACTCAGGGAGGTTTCCATGGTTATTGATGATTCAGAAGGCATTGGACTAAGAGCTAGGCTGTGAGGATAAGGGAAACAACACTCCATCCTTTCAAGTAGCTTAGAACTTAATTTGGAGTTCAAGTCAATGCATTTTAAAAGGCGTATTCTTCAAGAGACATTAAACCACATTGCTATGCAAAGCAGAGAGCTTGCAACCAGCGTAGACAAGACTGATTTCCTGCAGAAGATAGAATTCCAGTGAGTCCTAAGTGAAAAACTGGTGTTCGAGAGGTAAAGGTTAGCATAGGTGAAATTTTACCTGAGGGAAGAGAAAAGGCCCAGTCCCACTCAGCTCATTAAATGTGGGCAGAGATAGAATGATAACCCTGGGTGTGGTAGTGAATATTGAGGAAGAGAATTATTGTGTCGGGAGAGGAATCTTCTACCAGAGGATATTTAGTTATTATTATTACTATTATTATTACTACTACTACCATTATTAACTGTTGTACAGTCCAGGAAACTGACACCAGGGTCTCTAACATGCTAAGCAAGTGCTTTGCTATTGAACTACGTGCCTA